TCGTGTTAGGGTAACTTGTAAAACTTGATGTTTTTTATAACGTTGTTACATCAGCTGTTATTTTCCTATAACTTGGCGATAATAATCTCATGTACTGTAGTTTGTTTCCGTATGAGTTTTGTTTTAGTTCTATCACCTACTTATTACTTTGTCTAAGAGATATATGTCTCTTTTGAAGAGAGAATGAAAGACAATACTATGTATTTCAAAGTGAGGGCTTGAGGATATTTTAAGGAAAGTAACGAGGGAACCTGTGGGGATTGTATGTTTTCATAGAGGATGTAATTCAATCATGTCTCATGGAGCAGAATGTTCATATCATGGTGTTCTAAGCAAATTTTATCTAACATGTCGTTAGCAAGTATTAAGAAACAGTAGTGAACCAAGGATTGTTTCTTCTGAAACTCCTGATATTGAGACTTTTTTCAAAATTGAGAAATAATACATGGATCATTATCTTATGGTCTCAAGAAGTCGTCTAGATTTCCTATGCTATGAGTAGATTGAACACAAACGACCTTTCTTTCCTGACGTTTTTTTCTACATCATTTGCTTCTTTTGCTCATTCATTAGCCTTTTCCATTACTTTTGACAGTATTAGGAGTAATGAGGCAGGTTTGTGGCAGACTTGATCTTTTTTTATCGTACCCTTTGACGATTGAATATAGTGGCCTGTTTCCATTTTCTTGGGAGTTGGTGTAAATCTAGCGAGAGCCTGACACAGGTCTCAAGTTGGTGTGCAGATGGTCTGTGCGCATTGATTCAGGATATTAGGTTAGATGTTATAACATCATGGTGACTTTTCTGAATGAAGAGGTTTCTGTCTTTTTAATGCTAACTCGAGAGTTATTCGGAGAACAATCAACAGGGAGTAGATTTATGGTTAGTTCCGGGTTCGCACGTTCCTGGTTTAGCTGATCTATAATATAGGCATAAATGTCTCTACCATCTCTAGTTTCGTAAGGTCTTTGCCACACGGCCTATTAAAAGTAAAAATTCTTTGATTTGTAAGCTTTCTCCTGATCATGTATCTGTAGAGATATACGAAGTATACTTGAACTTTGGCCTCCACTTTGTGTATAATATACACTATGGTGAAAACTAAAAGCCCGTTAAAAAAACTCTTCTACATGAGCGTGAATTGTCATAATTTTGGTGTTTAACACGGAGACCACGTAAATTTCAGTCACATTTATTTTCAGTCTGTTAGTATCTCAGGAGCTAACCATTTTAATGGTACGTCATTACTTTAGCACATCACGATATTTAAAAATACTAGAATCATCCATTATAGGACTACAATTCAATGTCAAATCGTCTAATAACCGCAGATCGATCAACTTAACTTATGCACTAGCAACAGTCACAAGAGTGACGACTGCACAAACCACAATGTCTCATCCTCTATCTCTCTCAAAACAGAAGATAGATTGAGCAACGCTACCAGCTCACTGCGGAACAAAATCGTAGTAAATCTTTTGGAGAAGCCAAAAAACAGTTCGACGCATTTAACTTACAAACCACATTTGTGCACAGGCATATAGATATTTCAAAACACACAGGATCATCAGTATGCAGTCATTTAAAAATGAAGCCATTCCAGTGTTATAAGCTAACTTAATATTTCTAGACACCACTTGAGTCATAATTCTTTAGAGAGCTTTAGACCTTCTGCAGCGGCATAGCTCAGCCTCACAGACTTAGTCATTCTGTGCAGCTTGTCCTTACTCACGTCAAACATATAATTATATCTTTAGCCCAAATGTGTTATTAAAAGTCGCTCAACGATAAATTACTGATATTTACGACGCGAAGAGTTGGGGAAAACAGTAGTGAGACCGCCTCGTAAGGTCTCATAGATTAGGTAGTCATACCATGACAAATCTATAATTTTATTATTAGGTCTATCCTTATAGCAGTACTAAAAACGAACCTAAACTTTGTTTCGAATAAAATACTTCATCCCATTCAACGGTGACGTTGTGCATATTTTGGATGTTGAGGTGCTGTTGCTACTCATTTCAAGCTATTGTTTCAATGCTAGTGTCAGCGTCCATCGCTCTTCTTCCTTAGCCATTATAACTGACTCCTATTACAAATCCCCAGAAACATCACTCATTAACGACTCATACCCTATGTCACCTGTTCACAATGATTCACAACGACTCATCCTTACCCTCACAAGTAATCACTAGGTCACCTTGTGATCTACACAATTACATTATCCTTCAACAGCTTTTGCACTGCCTTGCCAAATTCATGCTCTTTCCGTAGTCAGGTGCCCTATCGTTGGTTATTCGACGCTGGATTCTAATTACTTGAACTCAGTGCATACCTTATATTTCTGATTTATACTCTGTGTAGATAGTTATGAAATGTACATTTCAGTTAAAAATGATGTAGTAAACGAGAACACACGTGGGGACAAACGTAAGTATTTGAACACAAAATTACAGAACATATTAGTGAAATCCGAGATTCATACATAAATACTTCATTCGCAAAATATCAATCCATTATCTCAAACTCGACTGTTTCTTTTGCAAATATCAGTCAATCGTCTCTGATTTCATTGTTCATGCATTTTCAAACCAATTGCTGGCCCATTCGACTTGACTTTTCTACATAATGCAACAACACATACCGAATATATTAATCTTGAATTTCTAGCCAGTGGATTTATTGTGAATTTATTGCACGAAACTGCTCTTGCACTTCTACTCGAGCAGAAGTCCCAACAACTTCTTTTTGTTATTCATTTGACAGTGCATACATAGTCGTCTATTCTTATTTTGTGCTGGCAAACTATTTACGTATTTTGCTTTTCCTTCACTTCTATTTCCTTATTTTCTCCTTATGCTTCTTTAAATTCAACTCCATATTCTTCCCAATTACACAGAACCTGATCTATTATTATTCTATTATCACAATTACTTTTTTGTTTTCCTTTATTTCTGCTTATTCAAATATGGTAAACGTTATGCTAATATTATTGGAACTTGTGTATTATTGCATTTCTGAAGAAACCCGAAATGGTTTCTTCACAACACTTTTGTACACATAAGATGTTTGTGAATATTAATATAACTTTGTAAACACTGATTGTCTTACTCAAAAACTTTAACGCGTAGTCTGAGTTAGAATGAGTATTTTCCCAATACTGATATTAATACAACAGAAGATTTTCTACATTTTACGCGAAATTTGTCCGGAACTAATAGTCTCAATTAAAATAAAAACCATATGTCTGTTACTGTGGTTATAGTCCTTTCAATCTAAAAGCTAAACTGAGGAAGTTGAGGAAAAGACATTTCGCTCATCTGGACTATTCAGCTACTCTAAATGTTCAATCAATCTCCAACAACATTTAAAACTTTCATCAAACAAAGGAATTTGAAGCTGAAAAATTTTCACGAATTAGAAATTGAGAATGCTTTTTAAACAGCTACTCTCCAAGAGAAATGTTGTGTCCGATTTAGTATTTCTACTGTCTGTGACCCTGGCATACCAATATTCAACCTTTCTTTTGATTTTAGCACTTACTTTAGAAAATCAAAAACCATATGTTTTATCTAATGCCTTCAAAACGTATTTAGACTGGAAGTAGACCATTATCACCTGAATTAGCCACCCTTTCGTCCCGTCTATAACATTATCACGAAGGCATATGACAATCATTTAAATATGAACCAGTTGACCGTATCTTTGCAACATGAATTCATTCCCGAAACGTTATGCTTAACCTGCCATGTAGAGTACTTTAATTATATAATAAACAGGACGAATGAAAAGAAACTAGTGGTGACCCCTTACTTCTCCCCTAAAGCATTTTTTAAGTACATTACATTCCTACTACTTAAATTAAAGGTATGTAGACCATCAATGTTAATGAGCTATGTCGAATGATTGGAGGCCTACTCGAGTTAGACGGAACATTGTGACGAACCAGCTAACTTCGAAGTCACACATCGCGGTCAGCATCTAACGTGAATTACGCCTTCGACATATCAAAGTGTTATGGGTGTTTTGAAAAGTGTATAACACAAAGGGCATGATTACGTAAACATATCAATAAGAATGAGTACAGAGATGTTAGTGAGAATACTACCGCATGGGCCAGTCTATGGAGTATGATTAAGTGATGCGCGTTTATTGTCCTTTACTTTAACAAGGAACGATGATCAGTTTGATATTTAGTGACCCGACTGCCAGATGACTTGACCAGGACTCAGTAAGATTTATTGTGACATGTATATTCAGTGATTTTTCGTAGTGACAAAATAAAGATCACATATTTGTCACACTTTATATGTAACTACATTTATATTCAATATCCTTTGTTTCTCTGTATCAGTGTTAAAGAAACGTATATAATTTTTTGGTAATACCCAACATACATACACTACCGCGATTCTGGAAATATAAATGCTATCTCCACCGTCTATTCTTCTGCTTTATTGACCACGGCACTAGATTAAAGAATATAATAGTATTATAACATCATTTTAGGCTTTCCCGCATTAAGTTGGAGTTTCGGCCCAGATCATTATTATATAATACTATCAGATTTATTCTCCTTCGTTTTGTTGTTGGTGTCACCACAAGCAAACAACAAATTTAGGTTCAATTCAAATAATGATTCACACACTTGGATAACACTGTATTCATACAAGCTAGAATTTAATATGAAGAAAAATACGATACTGATTGATTTCATCCTTTTATTATATTTCGAACATAATGAGAAATCGCAATACTATATTTGTAAAATCTCAGCGAATAAATTTGAAGTAAATCCAACGTTTCACCTGGCAATGTGGTCCAAGCAAGGATAATTCCTTGAAAAAGCTTGAACGAGATTGCCAGGTGAAACCTTGGATTTACTTCAAATTCCTTCACTGAGATTTTACAAATATATTATTCCTATTTAATGTCTTACATCAACTCGGCACTCAAATACTGTGAAACTATTCGCTCTAATTTAGACAAAAGTTCTTATATAATGAAAAATCATTTTACCTTCTATCATAGAAAATGGAACTTCATCACAGATATATGATTTGATCAGGAAAAAAAAATGAGACCACTAATGACATTACATAACACATATGTTCGACTTTCATTTCATTTATAGTATTGAATGTTTAAACAAAAAAAAGAGTGTAGAATCTTTTTTCTGGACAAATAAATTTATTTGAAATAAAATAAACCTAAAATTAAGAAAGAATATTGAGAAATGAATAAAACAGATAAGATGATAGTACTTTTGGTAAACTATTATTTGAATGATTAGAATGTAGTTCATAATGATTGTAGTTTTACAAAGTATATACTCCTTTTCACATGAGTGATAGATCTATATATCTATTTATCGTTCAATGAATTAATGAAAAGAACAAAACTTAGTTATGTTTCAAAAAATAAAGCACAATAGATTCTCTTTCTCTAAGAAGTATAAACATTTTCTAAAAGCATGATTTGTGTAAAATTAAAAGTGTGAAACTTTCAACATTCAAAAAAATTGAAATAGGAAAGTGATAAATAATAATAAGAAAATTTTAGTAAAAATTATAAATTATGAAAACAAATTATGCAATTGATAAGCAATTTCATCTTCACTCTTTGAACAAGATATCTATATCATTGTGAAATAAAAATTAAAAAAAAAGAAAACGATGAAATACATATATTACAGTAATTTATAAATAAACAAAGGCAAAGACAAAGTCTTACAGAATGTACACTCAGACAAGTGTATTAACTTAGAAAGCTTTAGTAATTAAGTTGATATGTTTTGAAATGTCAAACTTTTTCATACTTGAAATCATAAGTCAATTAAAGCTAGACCACCATGGAAAACATGGAAGCACTGGACGACCGTTTTGTCCTATCATGGGACTCCTTAGAAGTGCGCATCCACGATCCCGCACTCGCGAGATTCGGACCTAGGACCTACCAGCCTCGCGTAGGAGCACTTAACCAACAGACCACTGAGTCGGCATCCAACGGTGTTAATGTTTAACTTCAATTAATCCACGATGTTTGATCAACCGTCGAACATTGTTTAGAAATCTATTGAAAAGCAAAAAGCATTAGGCATCTCTTTTATCTGAGCATAAAATCCCTAACAGTGTTTTATATGACTTTAACAAACGCAAAACTCGGGATCTTTGACTTGATCTCTTTGCATAGTTGTTACGACTTTTATGATTGTGTCGATACATACTTCACTGTAAGCGCAACATTTGAAATTTCACAATGTTTATACTTATTCTAATTGAATACTAGGACATTAATAGTATCAAATGTTCCATAATGTTACTTGCTTTATTGTTCTTACACACAAAGTTTCCTCTATCTTCTTAATCGTGTGAATTTATCATTGTTAAAACTATTGATGTGTACTACTTATCATTGTATTCGCTAGCTGTAAACTGAATTTTTCATTACATTTATCATTCATTTGTACTGAAACTTCAGCCTACATGAATAATAACTCTGATCATATTCACGTTTTTACATTGAGTGAAAATAATGTATTAACGACAAGAATCAACTATTTGATAGCTTGATAATGAACCTAGGGTAAAGCCCATCTACTTAATTACGCTCTAATTATGATAGAAGTATAAATATATATTTTTAAAGTTCCATATGGACTGATAATTCAATCACTATTTGCTCCTAGCTACTATGGTGACTTGAATAAATAAAAATAAAACATTTGTTTGAATAAAATTATTTATCCTAAAAAGCAAACATGTTACACCCATAAAAGTGAAATAAATTATAGTCTATATATATAAATAATAAAAAACTGTATTTTAATTATACGGAAAAGTTCGAAAAACCGGTTCTATGATAAACAATTGTATTGAGGGCTGAGGTAGTTTCCAATACTAAAAATATTAAAATTTAACGAAATGGTTGAGGAAGACTAACCGATAATGGTAAAACAAAATGATGCATCTCATCAGTATTATGTCGTTTATGTACTGCATAATAAGATTGAATGCAAGTATATTTAATATAATCACAATGGTGTAAATAAGGTGTATAACACATATAACATGTCTAAGTACAGATTATTTAATGTACAGAGAATTCTCTTACTATTATGATATGTATCCAGTTACAATAATTAGATTTGGATCGATAAAAGGAGTAACTGATGTAGTATCGGTTTCGTTAGTTATCTAGAAATTAATACATGTAGTTGGGGCCTAATGTTTAGAGAACTTCACGTTTAGGCAATACATCAGTGGTTCGAATCCTATTCGTTATATCCGACCGAATAGTAAATGAATGGTAACTGCTAGGGATTATTCATGGACTATTATTATATGTATATCCAATGGACGACTATTAAGTAACTATATTATATATATATATTCATATTTCTTTTATTATAAGCTTCCATTTGACCTATTGGCTACTGCAATACGATTTAGCATTCTTAACTTATTCTAAATTTATCATTTACGATATCCTATTCTCACAGACACTTTTGGCTTAACCTCATGTAATTATTATTTTTCATTTTATGATGTTATGCAGTCTACTTTTGCTTGTATATAAATTGAGTATGTCTTAAATATACGATTCATACAGTGGACTTAACGGGCAGGGCTAGACGAGGAGCAATTATATGGAGGACCAATAATAATTCAAAATTGACTCAAGGCTGATAGTGCTAATTGATATGTCAGGAGGAACAAGGTTATATAAGTTAGTGTTCTGATTGACGATTTTGTCACGTGATAATTCATATGACCATACGTAATAACTACTTAATCTACTTTTGTGCGGTTGGGTAGAATTTATAGTTCTCGCATGGAAATTTATGGCTCACAGGTGAGTACATCTACTTGTACGAAACAAATGTGTTACTTAACTAATTTACTTATGTAGAGTGATTGATGAAATGTTGATTATACGTTTACAATTAACCAAGAAGTGTTCAAAATATATAATGAAATGGAAGATTACTACAACATTAACTACAAAGTTTTAACAACATATGAAATTATGATCAAATCGCCCATCATCAACAAATAACCAGACATAAGTGTGTAGATATTTTACTTTACAAAGGCATTGAGAAATTAGAAATTCAAATATATGAAACATAAGTGAATAAAATTTTACCATATCAGAAGTTTAACTATGAAAAATACAGCTGAACTACAGGTAACTTGACTATGTTAAAGTTATGTCAACTTAGTGGAAAACAAACAAACTGCATAAGTCATTGTCAAAAATTCAATCAGCCGCCAACTTTTAAAGGTTAAGGAGACTTTCGTGAAATAAAATTAAAAAAATTTAATAAAGAAAACTCGACAAAAATCAGCTTACACGGCATAATTTTTTTGTAGATTCCAAAAATTCAATTAAACTTTCCTCAACTTCATTTTTATGACATTGTGAATTATCTCCTAAATGATCATGGTCGGAAAACTTATCTTCTAATAAAATAATCAGTTTACAATTTGAAAACTAGAGAAAGAAATCAGTTTTGAAAATGAAAGATAAATATATTAGTATTAATAATAATACAAAACAATTAGTAATTATCATTACTTACAACAAACAAAAACTACTGAAATCCAGGAGTTATGTACTAAAAGTCACAAACACTGACTTCTATATATTACTGGCGGCATGTATTCACTTCGTATTTAAACTTTTCACACAACATGTGATCAAACAATAATGTACATATCGTATAGGATTGTGGAGATTGTTGAGTTTTGATTGAGATCATAAAACGTTCAATGTCAGAACACCATTGAAAACCCGGAAACACTGGATGGCTGTTTCGTCCTGGTATGGGACTCTTCAACAGTGCACATGTTTATAGTTGATCAGCAGTATTAGTCAAACAAACTCGACTTGACAGTATGATTGCAATATCTAGGATGTGTTAGAATTATACAGACTCATAAAAATAGTATCAATTAGAACCCGTTAACAAGTTGTATAATTATATAATTAACCAAATTCTGAAACTATATATGATGGAAGATTAAAAATACACTACACGAATGCATGCCAAGTGCTTGATAATTTATTTGAAATTTTCTTATTAGATGGTAGCCACTAACAAAAACTTTTCTAAAAGTCGATTAGAATTTCGATAATAATATGAGGCCTGCTTGAATAGCTGGGCCACCTGACATCTGGATTGTTGTTGTTTGCTTGTTTGTTTTAACACATCATTATGCCAATTAGTCTCATAACCTATTCACGTGGGTCTGTGAAAAGTTTACTACATGTCACTGTACAAGTTACAAAACAGCCCAATCAAAGACATCGTGGTTGCTGCCCATATGCATTCAGAAGAATAAAGATTATTCAGATGCCGAGTCCTAAACTGCTAACATCTAACCGCCAACAACTCAATATTTATTGCAACGATCAATCAAGAAATAAGAAAATGAAACCTGTTGAAATAATTTGTGCTGAGTATTCTATATTGTACCAAAAATATTATAATGAATAAAGCCACTAATAATAAAAGAAGTAATAAAGAAAATAATAACGACAGCATAATATTTAGCATTGATTCACGAATTCATCAGTCGGCTTTTCATCTTCACTGAGTATTATGCATCTACTAATCTGAAGATTATTCATTCGATAGTCCCAACTAAAACAAAATCTGGTTCTACAGCTTCCTATTCATTACTTTCAACTAGATAACATCAGAACAAACAGTACTAGTATATTAATTCACTTAGTTTATCGGTTACAGGATAACTTATTGAGCAGATTTAAGTAATATGAACTATAGGAATAATATAGTAACAATAATGAAAAAGATAAAACATTCAAATCATAGTTTAGGTAAAAAAGAAAGACATAATTATCAAGACAATGGAACTGAAGATCTAGAACAAGGTAAACAGTGAACAGAAGTGATCCATTATGATTGATCTTGAAACATATCACCTAAAAACCTCAACCATTGTTCGTAGTTATCTCAAGAACTTCAACTAATTAGTCTGCACCTATTAAGATGGATTAAACCAACAGTTAGCGCTATCACAGATTAATTCTGTCTTGGTTTTTCCAACAGTAGCTTTCTTCCAACTTACTCCTACATCAACTAAAACTGTCTTTGATTTTCTGATGTGTTTTTATTCACATTACCTATTATATCTAATACCATTTCAAAGACCAACAAATAAACGTAAGCATCATCATTAAAACATAAAATACTGTTTAAAAAACACCAAAACAACTTAAAATTTCATAACTACATAACATACTTTCAATGAATCATTGTATGCTTCAATTTCTTTAGCTTGAGCCAAACTATTTGGTATACCATCTATAATATATCCTGCTTTACGTGTTCTGCTCATCTCCTCTGTAATAATTTGAATTAATTTCTCCAAACTGAAAGTATTGTCTCCATCTAAATTCACTGGATCTGTTATACTTTTCATTGAAATGTAGTTGTAATTACATTGTTTCAATATGTGTTTACAATACAGTCGTCTTATCTCATCACAACTGCCTGTAAAGAAAACAAATTACACTAGTAGTTAATAAAAACAACAAGAAATACAGCAATTGTAAAGAAAACTTTCAAGTATACTAATAATAAATAATTCACTGAAGTTAAGCTTCCATATCAGATTATCACAATATGTTCAAAAATCGACTTGCTTAATACAATTACTTACTTACGCCTGTTACCCTTCGTCAAGGAGCATAGGCCGCCCCCAAACATCCTCCATCCAACCCTGTCCTGGATAATCTCTTCCAGTTCTTTCCAGGTAACATTCATCCATTTCATATCTACTTCTATTTCCCAGCGTAATGTGTTCTTTGACCTTCCACGTTTCCGCTTCACTTCTGGATTCCAAGTTAGGGATTGCCTCGTGATGCAGTTTGGTGATTTCCTCAATGTATGTCCCACCCACCACTTTCAACGACTTTTCCTAATTTCCTCTTCAGCTGGAAGCTTGTTTGTCTTCTCCCATAAAACGCTGTTGCTGATGGTATCCGGCCAGTGAATGTTGAGTATTTTGAGTATACAACTGTTTATAAATACTTGTACCTTCTTGAAGATGGATGTAGTAGTTCTCCACGTTTCAGCTCCGTATTGAAGATTCTCACTTTGAAATTAGTTCAGAGTTCTTTTAAGTTCCATATGTTCTTCAACTGTAGAAATGCTGTCCTTGCTTTGCCAATCCTCGCCTTTACATCTGCATCAGATCTTCCTTGTTCATCAATGATGCTTCCCAGGTACGTGAATGTTTCCACGTCTTCCATAGTTTCACTATGAAGTGTGACTGGGTTGGTGTTCTCCGTTTTGAATTTGAGAATCTTGCTTTTTCCTTTCTGTATGTTGAGGCCCATTGATGCAGAGGCTGCTGCCAAATTTGTTGTCTTCGTCTGTATTTGTTCTTGTTTGTGAGATAAGAGGGCTAGGTCGTCTGCGGAGTCCAAATCGTCTAATTGATTCTGAGATGTACTCCGTGCTTCCCGTCGGATGTCGAGGTTTTTATAATCCAGTCAATTACCAGAAGAAAGAGGAAGGGGGAGAGTAAACAGCCTTGTCTAATTCCGGTCATTACTGGAAATGACTAATACAATGATCAACCAAAACAATCTGTTTGTTTTCAATCTTATTTACTGATGTAATCCTGTCTGATCTTTGATAATATAAATTAATTCAATCAAAAAAAAAACTATCCACAAATATAAAGCCCTATAAAGACAAGCAACGTTCTTTTAATTCATTCTTTAAAATAGTTAAGAAAATTGAAATGAAAACTATATCATACTATAATTAATAATGGTCCTCTTTTAAAGTACAAATCATAATTTCGACCACAAATAAGATCAAGTCCATTAGATTAGATTATTTTAGTAAAGTGAAATTTCCTCTGATATCTGCTACATACTACTTATGCCTGTTTGCATAAGTAGCATATACCACAGTAGGGAGTTAGGTAAAATTCTTGCAAATTCAATAGTGTGTGGAATAATTACGAATGATGAGTAATAAAGTAATTAAAAATGAAGGTGAACAATCATTCTAATATTTGAAAATATCAATTGATAAATGAATGAATAAGAGGATATAGTCATAGAATAGATAGATTACATGACACCTGTTAGGTGGTTGGACGCAATTGATAAGAAACTGTACTTGACCTAGGTTTCGTGTTCGTTGGGGATCAGAACTGACCCACTCACTGAGCTTTAAAATCTCATCACCCAGCTTCACAGTTTGAGTTGTTCAAACTCTAACTGATCCCCAGTAGGACTGAGATGTTTATACTTGATTAGTCAGGGAGTAGTGAACAATAAAATGTTTGTCTAATCCATAGTACTTATCAAATTTTGTCAGTGAAGTCGTAATCGGGTCGCCAGTCAAAGCGATTTGATATTCTGTGTATTGTTTTAAGATGCAAGGTGATTTAAGGTAGTTGTTAGAAAACTATCAGCTCAAACAGATGAGTAGTAACGTCTCAGACTAGAAAGAGGGATGGTAATGGTCAAATTTCAGTGATCAATCAATTGTATAGTTAACATAGATAGAGAGAAATCACAAAATTTCCGATAAGTCAAATATTAGTAACGGTTGTCTAAGAATAAACAGACTGTTAGAGTTATTTTACAACACGTATCAGTAAAACCTCTAATAAATGGGTGAATAAATTCATACATTTATAACCCACTTCAAGTGTTAACTACCTTGATAGTTAGAATGGAAAGAGTGGTTTTACAAATTTGTTATGAGTACTAGGGTCGGGTTTTTTAAAATAGATGATGATGGCTCCACCATGTAAAAAGATGTATTTGTACAATATGTGGCATAAACTTTAGTAGGATTTGGTGAACGATGTGAAGGTCTTTGTTTACGTCCACCTGATTTCTCGTATCAGTCAAGTCAAAAGGGTATAGAGTATTCAGTTAACCTTAGCTGTCCTTTACTTAGTCAGAGGGGACGATGTCTAGAAATTCGGTTAAGAACTTATTAAACTATGTGCTCATCTTGAATGGCTCCACGGGAACACTTGAATCAATGAATCAACGTGGGTGAAACGGAAAGGTATGACCACACCGATTGTTAGTTAAACCTTTATAAATACAGGCACTTTCATGACTAAGAATATTGTATAACTACTGTTTGAAGACTAAGTATTATTGACTAATAATAAAGATAACAATAAATAAGTTAAACCAACTTATTAAAAAATTAGAATACATCATCAAGCCAAAATATGTATTCACCATACTACCAAACGAGAACACAATGTTATCTTTTGCGAAACAAAATCAAAATATAAATTATCCAATAACACATAAATTTGTATAATTTACCGATAACAAAAATAAATTTATATTTGTCCAAATCATCGTTTACAGTCTTCTCCGGACTTCCTATTGTGAAAAGACAAATTAAATAGGTGACAACCGGGTATATATAAATAATTCATAAAGTACGGGTTAATGTATTTGATTCTGAGTCATAGTTTAGACATATATGTTAAAGACATTATTGAGATGTTGAAAATGAAGTAGCTAAGGTAATTAACCAATTTATGAAGACCAGTATCTAAACTATAAAGTCATCGTTTTAAAAATGATCCATTGGACGACATTAATAAATGAGAATACGGAAAAAAGACACAAGTTAAGTATACTTCGTTGCTTTAAAATATTAGTAAAAACGGTAAAACTGTTGTTCTCTATTAAATGATAGTATTTTTGAGAATTATCGACGACAAACAAAGACATTTCAACATTTACAAAATCAATAATTAACAGTCAATCATGTTACCTTCCATTATACACATGACAGTACATGTCTATGGTTGCTTTTTTATACTTGAATACTATCAATCAATGAAAAGTGAAATAAATCTCTTTTCATTTTCATAGTGACATTCTTTTGATGTTTTTATAGAAGACAAGAATAATTGTTATGGGACCCTCAAGGTCATCGCAGGAGAATATGACAATAACGTACTGTATTCTGGATAAATCAATTCAAATGCATACATACAATTTCGTCAAATGTCTTTTGAATATTATTGATAAAATATAAGTTATTCAACTACAAATAGTGCAAAATATGGCACATATGTGCATCGATTCTATTCGCTGCACGATATTAGTACATTGAGATGACATTATTATGATAAATAAAAAGTAATATAGTAACAGTGTAATTGATAGTGGAAAACATTTAAGCGGAAAGAAGAAATTTCAGGAATAAAGATCACAAAAAGGTTTTAAAACCCAGGATATAAAGGAAGACAAATATTGAATGCATCTGCACCACTGTTACTAATTTTGAGCCATATTACCCAGGATTACGAACTGTTAGTCACAATAATCGCAAGGATCCAAGCCTGCTCTTGCCAATATGTATCACTTTGCCAGTCAATGACTTTATTAACTAATGTCACGCCCTGGATTGGTCACTTCAATAAAATATTACCAATAATCAATTTATCATAATATGCTGGTGAAGAGCGAGAGATATCAGACCGACTTTGATATTTAAACTAAGGCGTGCTGGATTATTACGAAGAATGTTCTGATTAAAGTACAAGGGGTATTCGTTATTTATATATGCAGTTCTGTGTTGAGATAACAACTGTATTACTTAAGTACTTCAGAATCTTAAATTGGCTGACGTTAGACACAATGTTTTTAATTCTTACTGTGTCATATCCATTACTTCCAGAGTCTTTTTTACTTACTTAAAGAGTGGATACATATTGAAGTGAATTTTAATTAAATGTTTTATCTCAAGCATCTGGAGTTTTCCTCATCTTTCAGCTACGAACATTTTCAGTGTTCTTACTTACGCCTGTTACCGCTCGTGGAGAAGAATAGGGAGTTGCCAGGATTCTCCATCGAACTCTGTCCTGAGCATTCCTTTCCAGTTGCTACTCATTCTTCTGATATATCCCTCCAAATCCTGACGCAATGTGTAGCACATGCCGAAATGTCTCAGTAAACATCAAATGTTGAAATGACGACTCAAGTGAAAAGTATACTAATCTATAGTTCTCACCCACTAAATGAACAGAAATAATTGGAAAGTTCTAGATCTAACACACTAAGGGAATATCTATAACACTGTAAATAGCTTTGGCCATGAAGTTTGAAAGTGATCCCATACTTTATTACTGCTCAATTTCATTTGTTCTTCATTGAACTATATTTTTTCTCAAATTTCCAGTGCTTTATTCTATTATCATCGACTAGTACTGTCATTTTGACTTTACAAAATTTTGTCCTCTGAAGTTTCCTTTTATTATGTTGATAGAAAATGTCAAAAGTTAAATAAGTGTACAGTTGAACCAATTTCTATACTGTTCATGATAATGACTGATTAACTGATCGACTAAATATTGTGTACCGATTCATGTTCAGATATGATAAACAATTTTATTCCTAAAGAAAAACGAACTATACAATAAAAATAATGTTTTTTTGTTATTGTTAAAAAGCCCTGTTCATATTCACCTTCTAAATTATCCAATTTCGATTCAATCTGATCTAATGAATTCTGATTGCCTTCAGGTGTAATTATTAATTGACTTGATGGAGAAGAATCATTATCTTTTGTTACGCTATCTTCAAAACTAGTTTCAAGCGATTGATCATCTATTATGAAGAATATAGATAAGATAAAATTCTTAAAAAAGGTAATTAAAGTCAATAGTTTTGTGAAACATTCTTAAATGGAAACATTATTATGCATAATAAGCAAGGATGGATAATGGCTAGCAGTGGAATCCAAGACGCGCGTTTCGTCCTACTCGAGACTCGTCAACTGGATATACCTGCATCTCAGAAATGAAGTTCACTCTGAGACTCGAATCCAGTACCTTTCGCTCCAAACTCCATCGCGTTATCCACTCAGCTACTGAATCCTGACAGCAACTTGCTTGTGCAATAGGGTGAAGTTTGAATTCGCGCGTCCTGGATTCCACTGCTAGCCACTGTCCATCTTTGCTTATAATACTTGTGAATTAAGGCTATTTCGAGGCAATACGCACATTATATCCATATGCCAATAAGAGACTGATCAATTGCAATCTTAAAAATCAATCGGAAGATTCAAACAAACAATACCAAGTGAATTTATTAATATACATATCTGTTGACCGGTGCAGATCAAGCTTATACATTAACAAAGGAAATTAATTAAAATTGGACCAATGCAAAACTTTCGTGAATCAAGTGAATAATCTTGCTGATATTAAGTATTTTATGGTAAATTACACTAACACCAAGCTTTTAGGCTGACTTTTGTGGATGATAGCCTCAACGTTTACCTCAAGTAGGATTTTTTGATCAGAACAAAAAGTGAATTATGAACTCAACTAACAGTTATTATATAAATATGCAATTAAACGTAAATTATTCAGAATGACAGACATTTTGAGTATATTGTAAACAATAAAATATCACCATTTAAATAGAAATAATATATTTGTAAAATCTCGGCGAATGAACTTGAAATAAATCCAACGTTTTGCCTGGCAATCTGGTCCAAGCTTTCTTAACTCGGCGCCTAAATACTGTGAAACTATTCGATCTAATTTAGATGAAAATTCACTATTTATTAAAAGTAGTTTTAAATGGTTTCAAAACATTTTGCTTAGCTTGCTTTACATCCTTATGAGCTTGACACACAATAGAAAACTCTTTGAAATAAATGTTCTATGTAATAACTGATTCCAATTACTTTTGTTAACTTGACCTAAATAAAGTTTTCATAATTATACAATCGGCAGTGAACTGAAAGTTTTTAGGTAACTTTAATCTTCCTGGAAATATTTATACATCTTAAATATTTTCATATTATTCGTTAGAATTCTCATTCCCTCATATGTCGACATTTAAGAAAACTATACAGTATAAACATTAGTGTTACTAAAAACAAATGAGTATAAAATACATAGTCAGCCAAATTTATTTTGAATGATACATAATTATGTGATTAAATTTTGAAAAATGAGCCAAATAAAAACTACACACCTACAAACGCACACACATATACAAATGACTTACCATCTATTGTCACACCCTAGACAAACAAAAAAATAACATTGGAAAATTGAAACAGTTTTTTTTATTATTTTAAAGATTTTACCAACAAAACTGTAGAAAATAACAACAAAGCTAAATATAAAAAAGTCGGTAGGATTAAACTAAACTGCCGAGCCAATCAGAAGCTTTCGCAGGTTTTCAAGGTCACGGCGCTAAGTTCGGTACCTGATCCTACCAAAAAGTCTTCACTATCTATTCATTAAAATGACAACTTAATTATTTTTATATATACTTGAAATCATGAGTCAGTTGAAAGTAGACCACCATGAAAAACCGGGAAGCACTGGACGGCCATTTCGTCCTATTGTGGGACACCTCAGCAGTGTGCATCCACGATCCCGCCTCGCGAGCGAGATTCTAACCCAGGATATACCAGTCTAGCGCCAGAGCACTTGAACGATAGACCACTGAGCCGGCATCCCACGGTGATAATGTCTAACCTCAACCAATCCACGAAGTTGAGCAACCATTTCACCAATGTCTTCAGTGAGTTGATATATTACAACAGACCTGGTTGAACCCCACTGGTTACTGCTTCTCACTTAAACTATAAGAAACACCTCATGGAGCCAGTCACTAGTGAGCAAGGGGGTTTTCTGTGGAGATTTTAAGTAATTTTTATATATGCTCGAAATCATTAGTCAATTGAATGCCGGCTCAGTGGTCTATCGTTCAAGTGCTCTGGCGCGAGACTGGTAGATCCTGGGTTAGAATCTCGTTCGCGAGGCGGGATCGTGGATGCGCACTGCTGAGTAGTCCCACAATAAGACAAAATGGCCGTCCAGTGCTTCCAATTTTTCCATGGTGGTCTAGCTTCAATTGACTCATGATTTCAAGCATATATAAGAATTACTTAAAATCTCTACAGAAAACCCCTTTATTTAGTTATTCATGTTAGTATTTTTACTTGGCCTACCAGTAATAAAACTATAAACTGATTTATTGTATGAAATTGGACGATTACAAACGATTCACGATCGAAAAACATAAAAATGTATGAGGAATAAATGAATAAAAGCAACAACAAAATCTTACCGTTAAAAGTTTTCGATTTTCATTTTTTAATAGTTTCGTTATTACTGGTATAATTTCTTCAGTTTTTACAATTTCATTATCAGATGTTTCATTTTTTGATTCTTCTTTCTTTAAGATGGAATATGAAATAAAAAGTACAAGTTACTTTCCACGATGATATGATGTTGTTTTTTCCCCATTTTACGTATAGTGAAAAGAAATGCTACAAATAAGCTTCAAATTTCTTAAGAACAAAACTTTTTCATCTTCACTTATGACTTATCATTAGTATACACATTTAGAACTATTCAGAGAAACAGAGAATCTCCACAAACTAGATTGGAAAGTCATCTGACTTATTAGGAGAAAAACACATATTGACGAGGCGAAATTATCATAGCACTGATGTTAATTCAGAACACAATAGTGACTGAGAAATGAATAGTAATCATGTCTTCAAATCATGACGTGAGTCCTGAGTAGGATGCATTGTTTCACAGTTTGGCATATCACTAAAATGCTTACATCTTATTGAGATTTCCGAGAATCGTCTATTGGTGATCTAGTATTTTCACGATCATATCTTTCAAATCTAGTAATCATAATGAATACGTAAGCCTGCATTAGCCAAGTTTCGAACAGACAAGATTTTTAGACAACCACTCAGAAACAAAAAGATTTAATGGAAGTAGAAATCTACCTTAATGTATTTCGCCGTTGTTTAGTACTTTCAAGCATTTAAGAATTATCTATGTGGTAGAAGTTTATCACGGGGATTATCTTTCTATATAAAGTGAATTATATGAAAAAAACATACCATGCGTAGAAAGAATTCAATCACTGCAACCAAATGTTTGAAGATAAGACTTTGTTCTTGATCACCAGGAATCTATTAATAACGAAAATAAAATCAAGGAAGACCATATTAAATTGGAAATATTATTATCTGCTATATATATTTATTGATTTTACACATGAATATTGGTACAAAGGGGCACCGGATACATATGCGCCGCACAAATCAAATGAGATTTATGTGAGGGCGAAGATGCTGCCCGGGTGCCCAAACCGAAGCAGGTGGTTTTCTAAGGGGACCACACCCGCAGCCTTTTACCCAAATATCTGATCCAAAAGGCAGTGGAGCATCGTGAGAAGATGCAGTCCCATGGTAGTCGGTGACTAAAAAGTGGTGCATACGCTATTTGTTCCCTCGGGATGCTGGAGCCCATATGCACCATTGGAATCAGGGTTTTCTAACTCCCCCAGGTGAACTTTACGCGTCCACCGACCCGGTTAAAGCGCCGGACATTCGTTTTTCTTCCTCTGAATTTCGTAAACAACGACCCTGCCACGAGAAGGCAGTTAGTAGGACTTCCCTGGCAGAGGCTATATACGCGTGGCGATGTCAGAACATTTCGAGAGGGAGAGCGGACTTTCCCCACTCTCGGCCATACCAAGGCATTTGGGGGCATCTAGTATATAATCGTATGATTATTATTATTATTGTTATTAATATATCTGATATATAATAATCTTACGAGAAAAAAAATTAACCTTTATACCATTTTAATAAAATTACTGTTGTTTCAACAAATTGGTAAATTCAGGTAATACAGGATACATTTTTAATTAACAGTATAATAGACTATATCATATAATGATATACTGGACAACTGTCGAAATTCATCAAGGAATCAGTTATTAAAAAATTAGCCGTCAGTGAGACTATTTTGTTAAAAAGAAATGAACAGAACCGTCATCCACTTTTATTTCAAGAGATTGTATCGAAGGGGATAACACCAGTAGTAGTAATTTAATTTTCCATCAGCTACTTTCTAGTTCCCCACGGTATTCAACAAACTCAAATAAGAAATGAATATTTAAGAGGCTATACAAAATTTGAGGTAAGGGAGAGTAGCTATATCTGAGAGATCGACTCCAGAAGTCCTCAAGAAATGTTCCACTTCTAGAAGCTAAATTGGCTTGGATATTAGCTAGAGTTCAGAAACTGAACAAGATCCCGAAGGGTTGGTTTCAATAGCTGATCGCCCCAGTCTATAAAGACAAAACTCTAGACGAATCAGTTTGACTAAAATATTAGCTAGCATGTAAGCCTCTGTATTAATCCAACGCTTAGCAAACTTGCTGACTTCACATTTGAACGTAGATAGGTATAATAAATGTTCACTCTTCTTTAGGTTCTGAATCATAAACATAATTACCGACTTCCGATAATAATGATACTTCTAGACTTTAAAATATTATCCAACTTTCTAAACCAATAGTTTTTGTGGTAATGTTTGTCATTCAGAGAACTCATTACTCACACACTGATGGTCAAATCGAAGCATAAGGTAAACTGTCTTCTAACTTAGCAACTAAAAATGACTTTTATCAATCCTGACTATTACCCCCATTTGTATTTAATTTCCTCATAGATGTTTGAAAAATTGTGGTTCCTTATTTAACTCTTCAAGGGTTGATCTCATATTATGAGACTCAGAATATGCAGATGATACGATCTAGTTTTGTAAAAGATTTGTATACTCATATAATGCTTGTCGCAGACTTTTATTTTTAAAATCTTTTTTACCTTGGATTGTTAATAGTTAAACAAAATTTCATCTATTGAATTCAAATTTATTGTAATCGTTGAATCTGTATCGGAGTTTTCATTTTATAAATTATCAAACATTAAAAACTGTCTCGTTAGATACCGCTTATTGTTAAATTTAAAATAAAATAATGAAGCTGACATGATCAATTGAATTAATACTCTTACAATAAGTGGATTATTTACAGTTGATTAATTAACGGGTAGTAATCAGTACCATAAAATATCAGGTTTGTGCAGATCGAACTCTGTCGATCAAGTTCGAATGTAGTCATTGGTCTAAGCGACTTGACATCGCGTGCATTATAATGAGATGTAAATTGATAGATGAAGGTGGTCGACAGAAAACCTCGGACTTAGATTTCGTGCTATTTGACACTTGTCAGTAAGGTATACCTCTAATCATTAGGGAACTGCTGTTCCGTGGCGGATACGTCTCATTTCTGCAGAAGATCAGTTGCGGCCCGGATGGTTCAGTGGTAACATATCTGACTGTGAAGCTGGATGACATTGGATCGAGTGCGCCTAGAAGCAGTGGTCTCCTCAGGTTAACAGGTACACCTATGTTAACGAGTGTCAAGTAACATAAAAGTTAGGTTCATGGTTTCTTATCGACTACTTCCAACAACAGTAAATAGATTATATTAAACAATAAATAATTGTTCTCCATTCTGTAGAAATATCACATGATAAGACCTCAGATGTGACTGATAACAGTTCGATATTATTATTTAATAAATATTTTAGTAACCAATTTCTAATCTATAATAATTAAATAAGTTACAATAATTAGTCCAACAAACTGATGATGATGATTTATACCACGTTACAGGATAAATTAAACATTGTCTGTAATCAAGAATAATTGCTTCATCAGATTGCACTATAAACTGTCGGTTTGTGTCATAAAACATGTATTCAGAGAATGAATTGCATTTGCATACTTCTTCGATTGTAAACAAGAAACAAAATGAACGTAAAGAGTTTTAAAAGAATATTATCAGCATAAATTTCCAATAAGTATTTAACAAGGAATTAGTTAACTAATTAGACTTACCGTTACTAATTTACCTCGTTCATCATAATACCTTATAACAGGTAATGTACAATGTTTAAAGAATGATATACGTTGTAATACAACAGCATCTTCATCTTCAGTACGTTTTAGACGTTCATATCGTTGATGTAATCGATCAATTAATGTTGTCTCTTCACAGTCTAATAAAATGACTAAGTCTACGCCACCGATCTTTAATAGAAAGCAAAATGTAAATAATAAGTGAGGTTATTATTAAAAAAGAGATAATTTAAACATATCTAAAGAGGAAACATTGTGAAAGTAAGACTGTCTTTATTTAGTGTTAGTCAACTATATACAATGTGGAATCTGGTAGGGTTGTGCATTGATATGCAAAGACAGGCGAATTGACGAAACACTTCCTAGGGCAGTAGAATTAGTCATATCAGCAGTAGTTGAAAAGATTAGAATAAACGAACTTGTGGGATAGGGAAATGTAAAGGATCATTTTGGAACTAAGCAATTAAAGGAAGACAAAGTGAGAATGTACCTGCTCCGTAGTGATTCAACGTCTTTAACAATTGAATATGGTAAGTGTGAAGACCACAGGTAATTCGTATCTAAAACATCGCTCAGTTCGACTATCAATGACTTAATTGCTTGATACCATGCCTGGGTTCGGAGTTCTCAATATTACTCCAGAAATTGTCGCATACCGAGATAAATGGTGATTGCACATAAGTAACACATGTCCCAACCATCACTATCTCATTAAAAAATTTATCATCCTTACCCAGTACCCTGAAACTAACCACAGTATTAATCATTCGATGGTCCGAATATATGCGAGAATTGCTTTGAAGGTATCTATGAAAAAATAATGGTAACCGACAAATATCTTTTGTTTTCAAAAGCCACGTTTCACAGCCAAAAAGCAGTACAAAGCAAACTTCTTTGCAGTATGCTCATCCCTGTGTTGAAAGAATATCAGTTCACAAGAAACGCAAGTTGGCAGCGTGTATATAATAGAGAATTAGTGAAGTTTTATTTATATTTAATTACTGTAACTGACGATAAATTCACTTTCTACCATAAATTAGGATTTCATCATCATCAATAGATCATTATAATTAACAAGATAAATGACTGATAGCTGAATCATGAAAAATATCTGCAAAACAGACCATTTTAAAACGATACAATAATTATTGCTTTAATTTGATCTATATATTTTGAGTTTTGGCAATATGTATATCAAATACATACTTGTCCTAAAGAAAACCAACCTGACATACCTATTTATCAAGTACTGAGTCCTTAATAAACAATTATTTCCTATTTATCTAAATAAAAATTTGTCATTGAGTGAATTTAGGACCCGTCAAGTTTACAACCTGAACTGATATAGAGTTTAATACATTTCTTATGTGATCATTTTCAGTTCTGGTTATTAATGAGGGGAAGTTACAAATTCCTATTTATATCTTTATACCCGCTAAACAAGTCAGAAGCTAATTGGACTCATTATCTCAGTGGATAGCTTGATGTCATTTGAAACGAAAGGTATTGCGTTCAAGTCTCAGTATAAATAAGAACACTGATGAGTCCGAATTAGAACAAAACGAGTGTTTTGAGTTCCACAACTGGAGACTCATATTACAAATTAATTACACCTTCAATTAACTGACTTTATATTTCGGTAATGTCTACTTTTCAATTGAGTATAACAGTAGACCACTATTTGTCTGAAGTTAACATTTCGACTCATTCTATTACGAGATTAAGTTCTTTGGTTTGGTTTTAAGTGAGAACATACATGCACACTGTTGAAGAATCTTAAGATGAGCCAAAGGTGTAAAGTTCTAAATTTTTCTTGAATCCCCTATTAATTTGAATACTTTTTTAATAATACAGTAATTATCAGACCATTAGAAAGTGAATATAATTTTGTTACATGCCAACTTCTTAAATCATCGACATTTTTGTCATTTTAGATAAATGAGACTTTTATATCGATCATTCTGATGAATTGTCAATCAGTTGAAAACAATCTACTTCGTCTCAGACATATTTATATGTATTCATATCATGCTATCATAATTTCAATATGCTTCATAACAAAAGTTTTGATTGTTAATTAGAATCAAAGGTGCTAGGTGATTCATCGTATTGCATGAAAAAAATTACATAACTGTATGTATGTTCTATTCAAACACATAAATATTGGTACAAGTGGGCACCAGATATATATGAGCTTCACAAACCTCATTTGATTTATGCGAGGTCTTCGATACTGACAAGGTGCCCAAACTGAAGCAGGTGTGTGGTTTACCTAAACTCTTCAATCTAATTACAAGTACTTGGGATGAGGTTTATTTGCTGATTAGTAACATTTAACCTTTTTTATATGTGGACTTCATACTTTTATACATTTTAGTCTGAAGACATATCATCTTCTTTTAAAAACGTCAACTGATATCTTAATTAGTATGATTGGTAATATCAATATAATTAGATGACCTCCACAAACTTTATCATGTGGTCTATAGTGTGAGTAAGTTCGAGAGTTCATTTCGTAGTTCTAGTGAGAATTAGTGAGCAGTGTTCAAAAGTTGTGGGATGTAAGGCGGTTTCTTATCAAAGACAATTAAATATGGTGGCACAATATTGTGGACTGATTAGACATGCATGACATTGCATTCTGGTTAACTGGTTAATGGATTATTCGTTTTTAGGCGGACTGAAATCCCTAGGTTTAATCCTTAGTGATGACGACCATGGGTACATATTGATAGAGAATCTAATACTAAGATGAGGTAGTTGTTTAGCGCTTCTTGGTTTTCAGTAGATATCTGGGGTCGATCCATAAAACCAGTAAAAACTAGCACGCTTTTGTGATCGTTATTTTGATGCTAGTAAACTTACTGTTGGTGTGAAAGGCAATTTAACGTGAGTAGATAAATCGAAGAGCGTATTATACACAATAACACTTTAAAAATGATAATCGTGTACCAGTAAAGAGAGAGGAAACTAGACTTTATCAAAGAGCTTATACCTTTGAAGAATAAATCATGAAATTAGTAAATATCACTGTAAATCTCATTCAGAAATTCTAAGATAAAACTAGTTCAATAAGAAGAAAAGTTAATTATATATGGAGATTTATAATAGATAACACGGTTAACTTGGCTCATAAAAGGTAAAGATTTTAAAAGATTGTTATGTTTATGTCAGGTACATAACGGATGTTTACGGATGGTTTACTTTTCACCAACTGATATCCTTCAAATATCTCACTGATAAGTGTAGAGACTTGAATGTTTTACATCAGAAATGTATTATGAATGAGGAATAATAAAACAATCAATTTGATCAAATGAATTACCAGTGATTCTAATTGCTAACATCTACTTCAACAATTAATTCTAATATTAAACAATTCCACAGACATTTGAGCCACATCATTTAATTGTGAATGGTTCAATATGTCCTAAACAATGCTAACCATATCTGTATTACTACTTTGCAAAGACAATTGAATTTTATGGTTTAAATTATGTAAACTATTGGATATCGGTTAGATGCTTTAAAGGTAAAGCGCTAACCAAAAGACTTAAATGTCGTGGATTAGCTATCCAGTGGGATGGTATTTAGTATCAATACATGTTAACATAAAAGCGTATGACAAAAAAAAGACAAAGTACTAACATTTCTAATCTTTGAAAAAGAGGCCTTCTGCACACTGTAAAAATGGTAGGTAAATTTTCTGAAACTAAATCTGAACGAGTAAGGCTGAATATTAACCAGTCTTGTTGGACTGATCACATATTCCCCAGAAAATTAGATAAGAATTTACACTCTAGCAAATTACGATGAAATGTATCAAAACTTGGCCAATTTACCGAATGACATAGTAAATTGGACTCCATAGCCATATATCTTTTAAATTAACCGATAGTTCTCTGAAATGATGGAAATTATTTACAGCTACGATGTGTGGGCGGGGATAATGATGATTGGTTGGTTGTTTAGTCAGACCAGTAGATAATCTGACAGGTACTATATGAATTATATATTCTCTTTCCCTTATTATTACCGTGGTTGTTGTCGGTTTTTGGTGTGGAAATATATTTACGTCCTAGTAAAACAAATCACGTGTTTTTGATCTGAGTTTTGTTGAAGTCCTGTAGAATAGACACCAGGAGGGAATCCAGTGTAAATATTCGTCTAAGGCAAACTAACATCCCCTTCGTGTAGACGTGGAAAACTAAGCGTTATAACACATGATAAGAGGAATGAACTTCGTCGTGCTTTAATCTATGAATTAGGTGCTTTGGTTCCAGATCTTTCATGAAGTAGGTGCAGACGAGATTTTAAAAAATGACAATGAGAGCTTTGGTATTACATCATATAGAAACAGTTTTCTATCACATTTTACCTACCCTGGTAATATTGATTCTGAATTTATTATCCGAAATGCTATCATCTGTGTTGTTTATGTTCCCCTGTTTGTCTAGTTTGGTTACTTTCTTTTTATATAAATATCCTAACAAAATAATTTGTGGTTCGACAGTTTGGATGTTATATCCCCCGGTGAATTATGAATGGTAACTCTAAGGTCTATTTATCGACCAATGTATTATGCCTATTTCCTATCGTACAATTGTTACGTAACTGAACTATTCATATTCGGGTTTCTCTTATCATTAGCTTTATTTTGATCTTTGATTTATTATCATACGATTCTTGAGTTATAATCAGTTTATTGATTAATTTAGTTTGTATTAAACCCCAGTATGTTTGTAAATAATGATTCATATTGCCGAGCCTGTTATTTGTGTTCTGGACTTAACTGGCTGGGCTAGGCAGATAGGAAGGACCGAATAGCACCCAAGACTGCTAGTACGATTTCAAGTATCATTTGCGTCCGATCAATAAATTCTTACTTCCATTGCTATTTGGCTGGTTTTTCCTGTCTCCCACATCGTCCGGACGTTCCATGTACTTATAAAGAGTGTTGCTCTGGTTGTCAGAAGGTGCATCGGTCTCGTGACTTCCGAAGAATTTCGGCTTTCATCATGAGACGTCATAATTATTCCTTCAACTCCCAGGGCAGAGTTTAAATGGTTTGAATTATTTTTTCTGGTTAGCGTTTTTTAGCGAGTTAGCTTTTCTACGGGATGGGGTCGCTAACCCCATGCCCAACCCTCCTCCTTTACCCGGGCTTGGGACCGGCAGTAACTCTAGAAGAGCTACAGGCGGAGTTGATCAATAAATTCACTCCTCTCTAATTTCACGTTCATATATATTTCGAGTTCATACGTTATAACATTGGAATATATATTCCACTAATATACATCACATAGTCCCGATAAATTTTGTTTTATAATTCCATTATTGGAATCTATCAAAAAGATTAACTGTTTCAGAGTATTCAACTAATAATATGAGTTTATTAATATAACTTAGTCAATAAATAATTCATCGAAACAGAAAATAAAACTACTTACACATTGATTGAATGTATTTAGTTGACCTTCATGACATGGGAATCCTTCAATGATAACAGCTCTACTATTACCAGCCAAATTACTGGACTCTAGACGGATTACTTCAGATTGCACGTCCTTTCATGTAAAAAAAATATGATAAACAAACAACTAACAAGTCTGCTACTCCGAGATGACAGGAAATCAATAAAATACACTGACTGTTAGAACAAACAAGGTATTTCTAGAAAAATGCGAAATTTATGGGTTGATACACCACACTGTTAAAAACGAATGGATATGTGAAAGAAGTTGCTTTTTTTACAACTGCATTTTGCATTCTAAAGCAAACGCTCTCACCCTAAGATTGTTCTCGTATTTTTCTGAGATCCTCATTCCTACCTATTTCTAACACAATGATAGGTCTGTAGAACATTCGGAGACCAGGACGTATATAAGTAATTTATACATGGTTAAACAAATGACAAATAATATTTTTGTGGCTGTGTTTAAGAAAATTCACAATTACGTGGTAGATTTGAACTCCAGCCCATCTATGATTTGTCTTAAGGTCACCAGCTATCGTAATAAAAATACAACTCAAAGCTCAGTACAAAAGCACTTTTATAAAATATGAAAATCATAGATTTAATACATTATTTCCATATCCTCCTTGAGCTGTCCATTACATATTAAATGATTACTGCAACTACGTTGTTATTCTGATTTCTCTGTTACGCTTCCTCTTCTCTTTAATTCAATGTTCTGCTGGCATGCATTCCACTTCCAAGTGCTGCTACATACTACTTAAATCTGTCAGCTTACGTAGAGTACACCACACAATGACAAAGTGAAATTACTAACTAGCCATTCATTTCGGATTCGAAACTGTTCTCCACGTATTAAATAGTGTCCACGGTTTTTAAATGTTTGCAACTTTACTAAAGACCAAGCAAATGGATTAGAAATCTAATAGTATACAAAATATGGAAGTGAAAATAGTTGATAAACGTTTCTTCGTTTTTGAGTGGTTGGTCATCACCACCTAATGTCAATTTGTGATGGAAATACTCTAATTTTACACAAAACCGTCAGAATGGAAAGTTGTAAAATGTAAGCAACAAAAATGGAGCACATAAAAAACCTACCCAGTATTCTGGAATGAGCCTATCCTAAATTTCGAAAAATAATCAAATAAGACAGTTAGAATATGATAAACGTTTTTTTGGAATCATAAGAATCATTTATATAAAAGCACAGAAAAAAATCAGTCGTTCAGTTACACTCCGTTGTCCATTTACAGTCAATCCTATCTAGCTACAGATGACAGACTAATTTAGATTTATTATAGTTGAAAGCGTGAGTCAATTGAAGCTAGACCACCATGGAAAACCTGGAAACACTGGTGGTCTAGCTTCAATTGACTCAGGCTTTCAACTATAATAAATACTAAATCTCCACAAAACCCCTTCTATAATTTAGATTTCTCAGTAGTTGTGTAGTGAAATCTATTTAATAATAAGTTTCATTGAAACATTTCTCCAGTGCGTTGCAAGACTACTGAATAAGTGGAATTGAAAATTAAGAGTTTTGGTTGATCAAGGTAAATTATTAAGTCATGTTATGAAACTTGGCTGACTAAATTTAATTACTCTTAGTCAAATATATCTTACCATAACAGGGTGTACTTTTACATTATATATTTCTTAACGAACGATTTAAACAAGGTAATGATGAGAGAAAGTATTTAACTAATAAATTTCAATTTTAGAAACGAGCAACATTGAAGCCATTGTATACAATGGTTTCAAATTTCCCTTTATTGATAAGAAATAATTCGATTTAATGTAAGGACTGTTGTTTGTTAGGCAACAAGTAAGCACTGATCTCGAATGCGCCTTTTTAAGGAGTCCTACACTAAGATTAAATAGTCTCTCAGTGTTTCCAGGTTTTCTATGGTTTTGTGAATTAGATAGATTCGTGGTACTAATAAAATGGAAATATATATCGTAGTTGCAAAGTTGTTCGTAAATATTTACCGATAAACATAAGATGCAGCTAATCACTACTTAAAAAACGTTTTCTAGATATTTTCTGAATATTCACATGATAAATCCGTATACAACAGCAATTTTGTTACAGTTTCACTGAAAATTCTTTATTGTAATCCAATATATGATATTTAATTAACCAAGTATTATTATTAGTAATAGTTAGTTGCTATTATTATTTAGACTAAATTATATACATACTTTGTTCGACGGTGGATCACTAGAATGTACTCGACGTGCAATGACATCCCAATCTTTAGTATCATTTTCATTGATAAAATCCAAAACATTTTTCCTCAAAAAGTCAGTAACATTGAAATATGCTAAACCAGAAAATTTTTCACATAAACTTAATGCTTGTTCTGTTCGTCCAGAGCCTGGACCACCTGAAACAAAAAGAATTCGAAATGTAAAATGGGTCTTTTATATAGAATACTTTTCTTTTAAACTCTTCGCGTTTTACAACACTTGCGCTCTCTCTCTCGAAGTGGTAATAAGACTACAATAACCCTTATTAACTAATGAATTATATTTTGTGACACTGTTACAGTTGAAAAATTAAAGAACGACAAGTTAGTATACCTGAGTTTACGTTGAAAAGTTATTGAATTATTTCAACAAGTAATCTTCAGAAGGGGTTTTGTGGAGATTTCAGTATTTTCATAGTTGAATTCACGAGTCAATTGAAGCTAGAACACCATGGAAAACATGGAAGCACTGGACGGCCGTTTCGTCCTATTATGGGACTCCTCAGCAGTGCGCATTAACGATACCGCTTTGCGAGATTCGAACGCAGGACCTACCAGTCTCGCGCCAGAGCACTTAACCAATAGACCACTGGTGAACGGTTGCTCTAATTTTGTGGATCGGTTGAAGTTAGACATTAATTATATTGGGTGCCGGCTCAGTCATCTATCGGTCAAGTGCTCTGGCGCGAGACTGGTAGGTACTGGGTTCGAACCGCGCGAGTGCGGGATCGTGGATGCGCATTGCTGAGGAATCCCATAATAGGGCGTAACAGCCGTACAGTGCTTCCATGTTTTCCATGGTGGTCTAGCTTCAATTGACTCATGATTTCAACCATGAAAATAATCTTCACGTCAACGTGTATGTTTTTCATTAAAAATTCATTGATAAAAAGCATTCAAAATGTCACTTTTATTTTTACCTTTTTTATAAAGGCTATAAATACTTGATAAAAACAATACTAAACTGTTTGTATATTCATTAGTAAATAAACGTAATGAATTTAGTGTAAAATTAATTTTGTAATCATTTCAAAAAATATCTGCGTATTACAGAAATGCCTTATATACAACCTATCTTTTATATACTACCACCACTAAATTAACTACTTATATGAATCCGGTGTTCATCTTGTTGTGGTAACGAGGTATGGCAACTTGGACGGATGCATAAATGTGCCTGGTCCTACATTGTAGCTGACTGACTGACTGACTGACTATTATTTAATACAATCATTGAATGTCATGAATAATTCTAAGAGTTAGTTTTAAAAACATGTGATCATGAAACTATTTCTTAAGGATTTACATTGCCAAAGAAAATTTGCATCAAAATGAACAAACATATATTTCATATATTGGTATATGTATAGTAATATCAGCTCACCTGTACTAAACAAACAATTTAACATCAAGCCAAAATGTCTGACATACTGTATACAGGTATCAGCTTAATGTTACTTGTTAAAAGAAGCTCATCTTATTTATCCCACAGTAGAGCTTCAAAGTTACCATACTATTTTTATGATCGATTTGGTCGTGAATGTTATAAACGAATCCTTACATCATCACCACAAATAAACTAAAGTACAATACAAAACTATATATATATATATATATATGAAAGTGAGAGTGATTGTCGCCATGCGGAACAGCACAATTTGACCACAGAAAAAATTGTTGATGAAGAACATTATGTTGGAAAAAGCTGAAAGAGTTTGTAGTATATTTGGTATGTGATTAGTATTGATGGTAATACTTGCCTCAAACCCAATACCATTCACTTTAAACGTCAATATGTCGTAAACGAATCAATTGTAATAGTAGTGTTGGGAAAACCCAACTTCTCTAAATATTCAACAAAATCTAGTTACAACAAAATTTCTGCAAACGAAATTTTAAGATTTTAAAACTATTTGGTTAAATTTGAATTCAGTAGTTTTAAAATCACATTTTTATTGAATAATTTTTTTTTTAAGAAATACCTTTAAAACTACTGTGAATATTTATACAATTCATTGTTTACAGATGCAATCAACTTTCCGATTATTCTCAAAGTAAGACTGCGATGGAGTGGATTTCGGGGGAATATTGTAGTCACTTGTTTTAAAAGTTTCGTGTTGTTATTACATATCGATTAGATAGAATAGCTTGATTGTTACGTAATATGTAAGAGGCTTAAAATTATTTAGTTTGAGTATGATTATTTGTGGAGATTGTAGTATTTTCATAGTTGAGTTCACGAGTCGATTTATTCTGGATCATCATTGAAAAACTTGAAGCACTGGACGGCCGTTTCGTCCTAGTTTAATGGTCCGGTATTTGACTCCAGTTAGAACGTATGATTGATTGTTATTGAGAAAACAGTTAGATAGATAATAAGAGCAAATATGACCAACACAGTCAAGGAACTTTTAAATTCAGAAATAATAATCTTTGATTTAAATAATTCCATGGCATTTCAAATTTACTGGAATAGAAATACCTTAATGGAAATTATATAATTTTAAAATAGCTTACAATAAAGACTGACTTTAGCTAGACAATAATTAAAAACCATGGAAAGATTAGTAGTTGCTTCTTTTTCTAATGTATGTAGAAAATAACTAAAGTTAGAAATATGAACTACTACTACTACTGAATGCTAACTCGATGGATCTAATGAAACTTACTTATCTGACTCGGGTGATTTAACCATGAAGTTTTCATAGCCTTTGTAAACAACAAAATTAACACAAACTTCGGGTATAAGTGAACTATTTGAATTTCCACACAACTGACTATTAGCTTATCCGATTGACTTGTAACTTCATTAAATTGTATTAACAGTTATTCAAAACGTTATCTACTCATTTATTTTGATTACTTTTTCCCGACTTGATTTCAGCTTTATAACTACTCATAAATTTTTAAAATAGTTCGTAAATTGAGTCTATTTTAATGTGTTAAATAGTTGATGATTTCTCTGAGTTTCATGCTCCCAGAAGTTTTCTGACATTCTTTCTGTTGCCTGCGTTTAGGATTTCAGCATTTCCTCGGTTGAATGTGTTCATAAATGTCTAAACTACGTTGTCATTCAAATCATTTTCTGTTTTTCCCCCTTTATTCTTCAATTCGATCTTGTTTTGGCAGACATTCAAATTCCGATTGCTGCTACATACGACGCACATCTTTCAACTTAAGGAGCATACACCACACTATGACTTATGCTTTTCGCAATCTTTATCCATGAATTTTCTGAAATTTACCATTGTAATTTTTCATCTGAGATATAGATAATCCCATGTATAATTGCCTTTTGTTCAAAATCTTTATGGTAACTATATGTATTGGTAATGAAAATATTCATCACCTTCTAGATGCCAATTGAACGAACATGTATTTTATGTACACTTACCTAATAATAAAATTATTGGACAATTATAAATACCACTCATTCGACCATTGTCAGAGAATACTGGTACAATTCTTGGAATACTACTTATACTCGGTCTGCTTTCACGCCCCCTCGTTCCATGATTTATTGGGATAAGCAGATTATCAGGCGAAGCATTTGATGTATGATGCACTTCTGAATCTGTATATCGTAAACATAAAATCACTCATAAAATACATTTTTGCAGTGATTAAATTATATATATATATATATATATATATATACAAATAAACAAACTATAAGTTACCAGAAAACACGTAAGAAATATTACGTAGTTATCGGGAGGTTAGAGGCTGTGTCATTCTACTTATTGAGCTAGTTGTCGCATGCCAACAGGATTTATGCTTACAGTCGTAAGGTAACTGATGTTTATCATCGGGTTTTAAACCGTGTCACAGTCTGAGACATTATTACCGAGGTAATAAGTACCAGTCAATATATATATATGTACATATGTTTATTTCAAACTACTGGTTGTGATGAACTGTGGAAATAATACTCTACAAGCATTCATGTGACTGTGTAAATCTAAGTGTGTAACATTGCTTACCGTGATATTCACCTTTTCGTTGGATGCATTGAAATGAAAACTTTTATCTTGGCTAACTGATCTGATCAAAACATTAAAAACTACCAATTTCAAGAATTTATTATCAAAAGAAGACATAATTGATACACTGACGACTAGGTTTACAATTAAGCTGTTTGCTTCAGAATAACTTCATCCACAACTTAATTAAACGCTTATTTAATATGCATTTTAAGATTTGATAGTAATCATGTAGACTTATATATCTCTGTTTTTATTTGGAATAAATAGTTCCCTAGACTAACTCGGGTAAAAAATAACTGTACTGTCAACCCAGTAATTTTTTTATAGCTAAAATATAAGTTCTAGTAAAACGTCATTCCCGAATGTTCGGTAAACAAAATTTGAAGATATTTTTTTCATACAAACTAGTAACAATAATGGTAATGTTGCTAGCCACTCAAACAGAAATTTATTTATATTTCGTGACTGAAAAACTGCGGTTATCAAGAGATCTATACCTCTGTGTATAATATCTACAAATAATAATAAGCAAAATATACATATTTTTTAATATGTGAATGTAGATTCAAGAATGCTTCTGGTTTCAATATGGGAAACACGATATCAAAACACTGTACTTTAATTTCGATCAAAGTTGGATAATAGATAGCACTGGGGTTCAGGACGATCATTTAGTCCTATTTGGGACTAACTAGCTATATGCGTTTGTAAGATCTCAGGATTGATGCTTACACTAAGACTCGAGCAAAGTATATTTCGTTTCTAATCTCAAAGACTTCATCCACGGTTATAAATTCATAAAAGTCGCAAAAGCTTTATGGACACAGTTCAATAGATGACCTATTAGCACTTGAATCTAAACGTACAGGACTCGAGTCTCAATGGGAACATAAATACTGGAATGTATGTATAATCAACTGATGAATCTCAAAAAGTGAAGTGCACATCCTTAATTTCACTTCTAGCCACTACGTAACTCCAGCATAAACTTTAGACCGAAGGGCAATATCAAGGCAACCTATTTAGAAAGCACACCGATCAACAGAGATTGATTAGCTGGAAGTCGTCAGCATCAACAACAGAAAGTAAAAACACTTATAGCATGATTTTGTTGTAATCAACCTAGTAAGTTCAGAATAACTCAAAAAACTTGAGTACTAAGGTGTGATCATAACATGAAATGTTAATGAATTATTTTACAACAGCCTATCCATTTTAATAATGGTACTGAGAAATTCTATAATCAGGCTGTAGTTAAATAGAAGTTAAGGGAACTCACCAACCAAATTATTAGAAATCATATGATCACACACTTCCAGAATATCCTTCAGAATCTCATTACAATTTAACTCTCCATCAATCTATAAAATAATAATGAGTTATAATAATAGTATTAAGTATTATTACTATTATTCTGAGTGTTAATTTCACAGTATTATTAGACCTATAATCGTATTCATATTCATTTATTATTTATTTATTTATTTGATAACATGAATATTTTTAGAAAGAGGCGCCATATACATATGCTCCACACAAATCTTATATGATTTAGGTGAGGGCTGTGATACTGTCCGGGTGCCCAAATTTGAAGCAGGTGGTTTTTTTAGGGGACCACACCCGGAGCCTTCGACATAAAGATCTGATCCACAAAGTAATGGAGCAACGTTAGGAGATGCAGTAACATTGCAGCCGGTGACCAACAACAGGTTCATACGCCGTTTGTTCCCTCAGGATCCTGGAGCCCATGTGCACCATTGGTTTGAAATCAGTGTTTTCCAACTTCCCCAGGTGAACTTTACGTGTCCACCAACCCGGTTAAAGCTCCGAACATTCGCTTTTCGTTCTCTCAATTTTGTAAACAACACCCCTGCCACGAGAAGGTGGTGGGTAGGACTTCCCTGTCAGAGGCTATATACGCGTGGCCATATGAGAGCATTTTGAGAGGGAGAGCGAACTCTCCCCACTCTCGGCCATAACAGGGCATTTGGGAACATTCATATTCACGTTACACATTCGTCATTTGAACACTAACAATTTTAGTTATTAAAAAAATAATCCAAATTTAATATCCTTATGAATAGAAAAATTAGATTTTCTAATGTTTCATGACTCTATATAAGCTATTGATTTAGAGAGTTAATAAAAATTAAAAAAAATTATAGATACGCTTATTTTGACTGTTTATTCTACCACATTAATTGATTTGTAAACTTATTCATGTAAATAGTACATCCGATTTATTTCAATAGTCAGTCAGTCAGTCAGTCACAACACAGAACTTCGTACGTACATACATCAGTTCAAGTTGCCATGCCACATTATCACAAACATCCAGTTGTCGATTCGAATCCCATAGTGGTAGAAGTAGTAAGAGTATAAGCATTAATGTGAAAGATTAGTGTTTGAAGATGTTATTGAAGGAGTATAATTCATTGAAATAAATTTGAAAAAAGAAAAGAGATAAAGACATGATGAATTCAGAAGATTAGAATTTGACAGAACACAAAAAGTGGATGCACCTTCGCTATTGCAAACGATTTTGAGCCATGTCATTCAAGGTCTCTAATCATCGATTGCTATCATCTCGCGGATCCCAACCAGGTAGTCTACACCTACCAACATGGCTCAATCTACTTATTAGTGACTTCATGGATTTGTACCACGATTTGGTCTGACCGCTCCTAGCTCTCTTCTAACCTACTCCTACACTATAAAACATCACACGTTTGGGTAGTCGGTGGTTGGGCATACGTAACACGTGTCCAAGCCTTTTCAGCTGATGAAGTTTCACTACTTCATCAATCGATTTGCCGTCCTTACCTAGTACCCGTTTCCTAACAACTGCATTACTTCACAAACAAATTAAAAATATTGTTATTTCAATATTTACAACTTTTTTTTAATTTATCAGGGGACTTTAAATTCATTTACTGTAATTTTAGATGATCTAAATGCCATGAGTTTAGCTATTGTCTTTGAAAGATTAATTTGAATTTATAACTGCAGTATGTGACCAAAAATTACGGAGAAAATTCCTCGTTTATAAACATTTGTGTCTTTTGTAATATGAGGAAAATTTTAAAACAAAAAAAAAGTTTGTTTGAAAGTACTTGCCAGTGTTAGCAATGACAAACAGAGTACGTCAAAACTTCACGAAATTTTGCCAAAAACTTATATTCATGGAGCGATTTCAAGCTATTTGTAAATGTTAATTATAATTCTGTTAACTTTATAAAAATAGTGGATAACAGGAAGCAGTATAACTTTTTCTGGGATAACTACACTGAAATTAGGTTAATGGTTTTGGCGTTAATAGTCAATATGTCACATGATAACAATACAAGTGAACAAAAATGAAAATGTTTTCTCATTGGCTAGATTGTAAAATTGTTTGTCATATTCTGGAAATTCAATTGACATCATTCACCTACGTTGTTTTATTTGCAGGTTTCAAGTGAATATAATATGGGTATTAGTAAAGTGATTCGTTAACAAGGTAGATGGTCCTACCGATGTATTCTAAATCGGGAAGTTACTCCATGGTTATGTGCTAGCAATTACGTTTAGGGCTAATTTGTATTTCACCAAAATAAGCAAAACGCATCATAATATTGAAATTCATATAGATAGTTACATATATTGACTGATATATAAGGATAATTTGTTCACAGTAAATCATTAATCACCTTCGTTAATTTCAGATTAATCTTGAAAACAGAACTATATATATATCAATGGAACATTTAATAATAGACAATATCCAACACAAATGTCGTCATTCAAACTCACAAAATGATTATAAAAGTGACCTAACACCATACTCTTTAAAGCATCTTTACGCCCTTGAACATTTACCTAGCTACCGCTTAAGTCGACGCTCAGCACTCCCTTGTAAACCAGGCTACAGGGAAGAAAAAGATTATGTCAGTCTACAAAGTCATTAACAGTTTTTACTCGTTTAGTATTTACAAATCTTCTGCTTGAAGTCTTCGTGATAACCGTATTCTATGACAGATGTTGAATAGAATAGAGAACTGTTGACGTTTCAACAGAAACGTCTTCTCAGTATTGATACAAGATATCTTGGCAGTTTGTTGACGTTATCTGTTCTTCTGTATAGCTATAAGATTTTCCGAAGGTAGATGTCGGTTGTTTACATCAACAGCGAGGTTGGTTAGTGGACTAAAATCAGTCTGAAACAAACTTAAAGGTCGAGTTAAATATTTTTCTCTATTAAACTTATCTTACTCGTAACACGAAAAAAGGATTTCTTGTTAAATAAAAATGCATTTTTATATAAGACATTAACACTGTTAGATGTCGGCTCAGTGGTCTATCGGTCAAGTGTTCTGGCGCAAGACTGGTAGGTCCTGGATTCGAATCTCGCAAGTGCGGGATCTTGGATGCGCGCTGCTGAGGAGTTCCATAATAGGACGAAACGGCCGTCAAGTGCTTCCAGGTTTTCCACGATGGTTTAGCTTCAATTGACTAATGATTTCAATTATGAAAATATAAATGCAATAATAACAGTCGGATAAATACTGGCTTTTCATAAAACTTACAACTCTGAGTTTCTCGTCATCATCAATAAGTTTGCATACTTGTAACGTTTGATTTTTGAAGATACTGAGACAACGGTCAATTGAATCTGATTTATTATTATTACAAACCTTATCTGTATGTGATATTCGTTCACTTAAACGTTGTCTGGAATATTCTTCACTGATATCAAGTAAAATCACACATTTTAATCTATCCATACCAACCTGATTGATAATATGTACAATAAAAAAATGAAAAATATCTGAAAAATAATATGAACTATAGAAAGGATAATACTACGAGTTTCCACGAGTAAAATCATAATTAAAATATTGAAGCAAAATCATCTGGGTTTGAGTAGTATCGACACCGTTAGTGATAAGTCTGACAATTTGATGTTTAACCTATTGGCTTATACAGTGGTGGATGTCACTCAAGATACTAACGCAAACCAATGAAGTATCGGATAGATATGTTTTATTCTAGTTAAAGACGCTTCAGCAATACTCGTTCACTATCCAACACAAAGGACAGAATTCAGAACCTTCATGTATCATAGCCAGCATTAAGTCAATAAGTTAAAAAGTGTGATAATTGACGCTTCCCACTTCAATCACCTTGTGATATGGTATAATCTTCAAGAAATATCTTTATTAAGTCACTGCAACACTCCCAACTTCGTTGATTTCCTAAGACAAGGCTTATCTCTGGAAACTGAGAAATTCATACGAAAAATATCGACTAGTAAGTGTATGGTTAATTTGTGGATATTTTCTGCGTTTTGGTAACACTAAAACCAAAGTACAGATTGCTCAAACTAGCTGTTTCTCAAACTTACTAATATAAGTGTACCTATTAAGCAAATTGGATGGACTGATTCTCTATATACTTAGTTGTTTGTAAACATTTTCAAGAGTGCTTCAATAGAGTTGTAGGTCAAAATTTAAAAAGGGATTACTGTCACCTAATTGACTGGAATTATTAGATACATTGAGTGTCATGTGACTGATGGAGAAGTAGAAACTAATTGGCAAAGTTTTACATTTCAATCTATATAAAATTAAGTTATATTACAAAACTCAGTCAGTTGATTAGTCATCTTATATAATCTGAGACAGGGATGAATAAATCAGTAAATGATAGAACTTGAAAATAGTCCCACTACTTAAAAACACTCAATCAGACTGGTTCCCACTTACTCTTCACGCATCAAGTTTATATTAAATGCATTTATATTGACTGATTCGAAGTTGCGTTTATCTATTATTTGTTTCGAATATTACCAATTAAGTTGTAACTCAAAATAGAATATCAGGTTCCTGAAGGCTGTAAAAATATCATACTGACGAGTGTTAACTAATCTCAAACTTATGTCAATCAGTGTTTACAGATGATTACCTCCAATCATCTGACAGATAAATTGGTTAGTCACCCTACGCTTATTATTAAATTCAAAAAACATAAGCTCAATTATCTATCTGTGATTATACCTATTTTTAAGAAATGAAGTGTTATAATAAGCGTACCAGAAACAACTTACATGCTCTTTAAGATCTAAATACTGTATTTCTGTTTTTGGATAACCATCTATTATAAAGCCATCCGCATCACTATGTTGATTCAATTTTAACAAAAGTGTTTCTAAAACTATATCCTGTGAGGAAACAAAGAATAAGAATAAATATAAAGTGAGAAAAAATCATTACATTTGGTAATAATTCCCCATTATTAAGCTTTTGTATAGCATCATGCCAACGAGATTGTTGTTGAGTTTGTTCATTTATTGCACGTGTTTTCAATAAATCCGGTAAATTGACATAAATAAATTTAGGATAATGCATGATCAATTCTTCTGAAATTATTGATCTGTCTATACCTGGCCCAGATATTATGCATATAACCACTGTGTCCTCTTTAACACATAATCTAGGTGAATCGATTTTAGGAATGGCATCATGTTGAGAACTGTCTTCATCAACTTCTAAAACTAGAAATAAAAATTTAAAAAATTGAACAATACACTTTTGTTTTTATCAAATGGAACTAAAACGATATTTTCACATGATATGATTTTATTTATTTACTGGAACTAAAGAAACTGGATGGATTTAATGCTCATGTCACTTGATCGTGGACAAATTCAAGGAGAAACATCAGTAAATTATATTTTCTACAAACATTGATTATCTCATCATATACTATAAAACTGTTAAACAAATCCAGTTGTAAAATATTAGTTGATATTGTAGATTTTAAGCTAATATTTATTAATTAAAAACTAATGTAACTAATATTCTGAGACGAAATTGAATAAGATTGAATTTGACATCTATGAATAAAACATTTGAGTCTCTAGGCATGTTAGGCTGATATTCTGAAACTAAGTGATTATAGTGCTTATAGTTGATGAATAGTAATATAATTTATTGAATCAAAATGACTGAATGTCACAAAAATGTTATTATCATCAATTATTTTGCCCCCGATTTCTTTAGAATATTAGATTTTTCCTTCCAAAATGTTATTTTAGTATTGTGCTCTCGGGATACTTCATTATATGAGCTAGCCATCTGCCGTGAAAATCTCGTCATATCCTACTGGATCACCGTTGATTATGACATGTAGAGTCAAACGGTTTTATGGTCTCAGTTTCATTAAAAGAAGCAGAACTTCTGTTTGACAATCATCAATAAACCAGCTGAACGGCGAAATATAATAGATGAATCTTAGGCTTTATAATTTTTCCAGCTCAGGAACACTAGGTGTCAAAAGTGTTAAGGGAAGTTCATTGGATTTCAGCTTAGGTTAGAGGTTTGCGTAGTTTTCCATTTGTAAGTAATATTTACCATGAACTGACGTCAGTTGGAGATTAATTATAAAACAAACAGAACTAGGTAACTCGCTTTACCCAGCTATTAAAATAACCGGAATTACATATACACGACCTCATATAACATCCATCGCGGGACCCTTAGGTATCGGAGTAAGCAGAATGACTTTCCATGACCGGATTAAGACCCAGTATTTCTTATTTACGATCTTTGATATAACGCAGTTAATGTCCAAACACGTCAGTAGACTGGCATCACATTTCTGATCCAGTTGATATCTTAGTTTCTAGACACTTAAGAGGACTTTGATATGTTCATTTGAAATCTAGCCAAAAGTGAATCTATGGTTATCACTAATGCTGGATTCCATGGGATGAACAAAAGATCACTTTCGCCACTAATAATGGCCTTAAGCTAGAAAAAACAGCTATTCAGTGCTCTGGGATTTTTAAAGGTAAATCATTCACCTGATATTAATTCACGAGGCATACTGAATCCAAATCTTTCGGTATTATTTGTTCTTAGGACATAATAACACTTAGTGGAAACCCAATCACACACAAACTCTCTGATTTAAGGCTTACTGATCAACTTTCACCACTACTTGATGATGAAAAACATCTCTAATATTAACTGGTCTCCTCAATAAACATCTACATGAACAAAACTTCTCTTCAAGTGTATCAAAAAACATATTTATTCGTCAAGTAAGACTTGGTAATCACAGCTCAAGCTAATTGTCTTGCATACATGGTTTCCCTACTCAAACTCTCAAGCGATGTAATTTGTAATTTGAAATAAGAGGAATAATGACCAATTTACTACATTTATCAATAAAAGTCTAGTATGTTAGTTTATCTGACATTCAAAGAAGAACGGATACAATTGCAAAAGTTATTGCTTACTGTTAACATTTATTTATTGTCACATCATCACAGAGTGACCATTTTTCGTTCGGGAACCTAAAATTTCATAATAATGGTGTAAAACTCCTAAACATTAAACTGCTGTCAGTTGACTAACTGCAATCCCAACAAAAAGTGAACAAATGATGACAAACTCGTTTAATTAGATAAATGTACTACTTCTGATGATTTTGCAAAAATAATTTTATCTGAAGGTATTTGTCATGGATTGATCTTAGTCTAGATGGTATTTAAAATCTAGGGATAATAAACAACCAATTTCGTCTTATCGTGAGAATATTCATTGGCACTTATTATAAAAACTGTCCTTCAAATTATCTTAGGAAATTAATGTATAGCGAAATTCTTACTTGTTTTCGTATGTAAAGATAATTTCTCAATGGGTTTTGATTGAAGAAATAGATCCCATCGCACACTGTCCATTCCGTTCGCTCTAATTTTTTCAATACACTGTTGCAAATAGTCTAAATGATTATTTGGACGATGATACATTAGTCCAGTCAATAAACACTAAAATTAAAAAGAATAATTCTAACGTCTGCGATACATCTCAGGGGTTACATCAGCCAAACTTTAAAAAGAGAACCAGTCTAGTTAAACTCTTTCAGTTCGAATAAGTAGGCTGTGTCACTGAACTTTACATTAGAAATATAACTTCAGATCGACTTCCTAAGTTTGTGCTAAGTTGATGGGTCAGTCTACGTCAATAGTAAAATGTTTAATTTACTAAACATGTTGCTGTCACTTTCTTTGTATTTTGTTTTCTGGGCGAAAAAATACTCCGAAATGTGTATTGCAAGCACAAAAAGCAAACAAGCTTAACGAGTATAGAGTATCGATAAGTTTTTCAAGGTAAACCTAAAATGAATGTTTTCATAATGGCGACCAAGCAATATTCATACCAGTACCGCAACCTGATTTTATTTTGTAATGGAAGATCACCCATTTGCACATAGAATTCGATTACAATGCTGTAAAGCATGAGTAGCAACATGTCACAACGTAAGAAATGTCTTTGTTTTAGAGATCCAATTCACTACAGTCAGATACACGGGTATTAGGAAATGGTATTCTTGAGGTGTAATGTTCAGCAAAGCATGCTGCTCAAATTTTCGAGCACGAATAGAATCCTGACTGGTATTTACTTCATTCGAACTTAGATTTGTTACCATTATCAGTGTTGTCAAAAGCTTTGCTGTATGAAAAATTGTTATAAAACGGCAGAAGCTATTACTACTATTAATGTCCTTACGAGTTTTATTAAATTTCTATAGATGTTGAAAGTCACACAGGAAGAAATCTCCAGGCGATGTAGATCGGTATGTCAGGAAATTTTTGCATTTTGTTTGTTAGATCTTGAAGATTATCTATTAGGTCAGTTCTGTGGTGCAGTATTAACATTTTAATATTGCTTTCTAATAACTTTAAACGAGAATTAATTTCCGAAATATTAACCCTACGTAAGCTCACGTCTATTGAGTAAAAACTAAAAACGAACGAAGATTTAAGACTGAATACGGTACATAAGCATCATTATGTTCAAAATACATCAATTCCTCGCAGGTTTGTTTAGGCTTCACTCTTGTGTCAGCGGTGATCGTCATCAGTTGCTTTAGTTATCAGATATAAGTGAGGCTAGTGTTTCATATAGTTATTCTCATCAGGTTTCTACACACGTTTCGTATACTCTCTGAGGTACTACGTAACTCCTGGCCAAATAGAAATCTTGCAACAAGCTACCGCAAAACTTATATACATTTAAACAAGAAAAACTCAGGAAATCAGTTTTGACAGTGTTTCTCTTATTCTAAATTTAAAATCATGCACTATCGGAAGATGATAGTAAAAATGAACCATTTTTCTGGAGTGAGCAGAATAATATAGATTGTATTACATATTTCGAGCCATCTTTGCATACCTGCAACAAATTTATATGTCGAAAACCATATGAAGAATCAAATTACAACATCAAAATTAAACAACAAAAAACCTATGAATAAATATGTTTATCGAAAAACAAAAAGTCGTTTTGTTTTCTAAGAACAAAAATTTTGATTTTTTTTTGAAAAATCATAAGGTTCCAATAAATGTTTAGCGACATACCTCAAAAAGCTGTGGAATGCCATTTTTAACAAGGTAATCCCTAGTATCAACCATGTCACTAATAGAACGTTTATTGCTCTTCATTTCTAAATAACCACATTTTAAACAACAATAGTAACCGATGCATTCAAACAAAAGCAATTATCACTTAAATGGTTCTTACAGTCTCCAAGTATCTTTCCGTATGTTTCTACGGCTTTGAATCTTTTTTTTAGTTGAATCTCTGATATCATTTCGAACGTTCTGACAATATATATATATATATATGTGTCGCTCGCTTGACGATAGGGAAGTTTAGTCCTAACGTGATTTACATTCTAAAAGCTTTCTCTGTGCCCTTACGCAACCAAAGTACCATTCTTGATCTGAAAAATCTGTTCTGGGATTGGTGTTTGGTAGATTACTTTTTTTAGTTTCACTCAAGTTAATAGTTAACTGCGGTTTCGCCCTTGCTTACTATTCGGGTTTTCAGTTTTTCATGTCAAGGCCGTTTTCAGTTTATACCAACTTTTTTGCCACCTGTTTTTATCCAGTTTTATCCCATTTTAGGGTAATGATTTTTTTTACGTTCGTGGACATTTGGTAGGATCTATAAAACAATTTACGTCAACATAGTCATGAAGAATTCATGCAAGCGATCCGGTTGTCATTTTGCTGCAGCGTGATAATTTCAAAGGATGGTTCTACGAAGCGTGTGTAGATCTTACAATAACTGCTTACAACAGACTCAGAAAGTCGGGTCGCAGGTGGGTATGTGGCACGTACAACATGAATGCTGAAGTTTCGTTGTGCAATATCATTCTCTTGACAGGTCTGAGGAAAAAGTTGTCATCAAACCTGAAAGGAGGCAAACTTTAAACTGACAGAGAAACAGAGATGCGCAATGAAAGCAAGAAGAAGGAACTTTACCACGCTACTATTGACAGAACATGCAACGACAATAGTGATTATATACTGAAGGTCGGCGCTATCATAACATCAACGATACTAGACTCCTTAAGCATAGTGGGTCTCTCAGCATAGGAAACCTGAATGCGAAGGTGGTTACCAAATACTCTGTAGGCAACTGGAACCTCTTTAACAAAGTTAAAATGAACTGAGTGTCACCATCTAAGAAGCTGAACATCCCTAGTATTGTAGTAAGATTAACTGGTGATTTGGCCGTCCAGTCCACTCCCAAGAATGTCCAAGAGGCCAGCAAAGAATACAGGAACCTGAAACGCGCTTCAACCACCAAACAACAAATATCCTACTGGCTAGTCACTTAGGGAAATCAGACGGTTATGTAAGAATACTGACTGATATACTCTATTCCAAGCGCCATCGCATTCGGAATATCTCTAAGAAACCTCGCAAGAAGTTTTTTCGACGAAGAAATATCATTGTGCAAGGTATATCGGAAAACACGGACCCTGACCACACAAACTCGGTTACCAGAAATGGAAATTCATCCAACAGTCCTTGGAGCTCAAAAACATATTTAATCAACCAGTGGTAGGACTAGCCGAGAAGGATAATGATTTTAGACCCCAACTGATGAAGATAACTTTCTCATCCTTCAATATGAAGGCTGCAACCCCGGAGAAATTCGTACCAACACACGCTGGTTACCGACTGGAATCTATGTGCATTTGGATGGGCCATTTGACGCCACGATCAAGCACAACGGCAAGTTTGATCTGACCATTATACTTGTGAACTGTCTTGATCACAAAAGAACGTGTAAAGGCCAGTGGTTATCAACTCGGAAAACCTTGTATAAGTAGGCTTCCTGTCCATTCACGTACGGCTGATATAGACAAACAGGAAGGAGAAGCCCACGCTTTTCAAATTGAAAACAAAAACTGCTAATACATAAACGCCGTGAGTTTACCGAATGAAATGGGCAAGCTACGTGAACTCGGTAATGCTAATGATGCTCATCTGATAGCAATATCTGAAATTTAGATATCTTCACAGTTTACGAACCAGGAGCTAGGAATACTGGGGATGTTTTTGTTTCGCAATGACAAAAAAAGGGATTGTGGATGGAAAAGCCTCATACTTTTGATATTGTCTAGAGGTATATCAAGTGCACAACCAAGAGTTTATCAATCTTGATGAATCCGTATGTCGCTCAGCAAGATTGTCTATCACCACGAGGTGTCTAGCTGGAGTAACCTACGGGAAGCCCACTGCTGACGTCAAGTGCCACAGTCGTATTCTGGAATGATTATACCACCCTACTCGTCTAGGATTCACTCATATCCTGATTCTATGGGGCTTCAATCATCCTAGAGTCAATTCCTCAGAAAATACGTACATTGAAGGTGAAAACTCTGTTGAAGCTCGATTCTTCAACTCTACCTAGGTTCTGGAATTGTTCGAAAATATGAAGTCGGCAACTCATCGGGGAAACAGCCAGAAGCTGTCGTGCTTAGATTGGGTATTTACAAACGAATAATTCCTAATTGACAAGCTCTCAATTCTGGTTTACTCAGGGAAAAGCGATCAAGCCGTCAAAGCCTTTAGCGTTATCAGCGAAACCGAGCTAAGACTTCCTACCAACAACAGGCTCTGGAATTTCAAACGTTTGAATGTGTCAGCTTTAGAGCACAATCTACAGCAGGTGGATTGTTTAGTTCACCCTGAGCTTAATATAGATGCTCATTAGGATTTCCTACTGCATACGATCTTATGTGCTACAATGTAGTCTGTTTCCCAAATGGTCCTCAAAATCTACAAACAACCTACAGCTATCAAGAACTGCACTCTTCGTCTCCTAAGCCGCAAAAGGCATTTCTAGGCCGAATACAAACGAACTGAGAACAACTGCGCATACAAGCAATACAAACATACAAGAAACATATGCGCAAAGGCAATAATAATAATAATAATATATTTCTGCATTAGCAGGTACACGCCATTTTTACAGGCATGATCTACAATTTACAACATATACTGGTTCACAGTATGCATCCCAAGCAAGGTTGTTTAGTAATTATAATCTATAAAAGTTGATAGCAGTTCATTCGTTCAGATATAATGTGTTTTCATAAGAATAGTTTCCAAAGGGGCATAGCGTCCACGTTATATACCAGATCCAATCTCAACAAAAAGTGTAATAGGGTTTCGGTAGTTCTAAGTATTTATGTAATGCAGCTTTTTAAGTTTATAGTTGTTATAAAGTAGGCTTGTGGAGCGCCTGGTTTGAGCTATGATCTTGGGAAAGCGCGTTCGTCAAGCTTTTTCCAGATGTCAGAAGTTACATAACTTCACCCTCAGAGCAAGATTCTGAAGAGAAAAAATAAAAGAGAAACCGAGGAGCAGCAAGGCATTTGGATATGAGCGATAATCAATGCTTAACATTTATTAGTGGAACAGATGGAGGTATGATAAATTATTAGAATAAATTGATACTAGCTCATGTTGCAAGAGTAAACCGCGATTAGGGTCTCCAGAAGAGAGAAGGCAGTAATAAAGAACAATGAGTTGTTATATTTATCAAGGTGGAGTAGGTTCCAATGAAGGAGGGAAGTCAAGGTTGGAATGAGGAAGAACAGAGAGTGCATATAGAGAGTAGTGTTAAGTAAAATAGAAACCATATCCTTTACAGTCAGTTTTTTTTTCTTTTCTCATCCGATGCCTGCCACACAGTGTTCATGTAAAAGTCCGAGTTAGCATGTTAAAGGTTGTCTTAGTAAGATAAGATATACTGCAGCATCAGATAAAGCTTATCGATAAATTTGTCTCTCATCCGAAAAGCCTATACAGTTATGTAGCCTCTCTTCGACAATCCAAAACTGGAGTTCCCCAACTGCCAGGTCCTAATGACCCAAGCAACAACGACGCTGATGCCACTAACATTCCGGTTGAACAGCACTATCGGATATTGCAACTGACCCACACTAACTATTTTGATCAAACTTTCATTTGCGACTCCACAGGATTTTTTGAAGTGAACCTGAGCGCTAACTTGATGTACCGGAAACTTCAGCATTTAAAAAAGACGCATCTCCTGGTCCAGCCATGGTTCATTCTGCTATACTGAAGGAAGCAGCTTAAATCCTGGCAACACCACTTAGCGTGATGTTCTCACACTCTCTAAGCGCAGCCACATCACTCAAAATTTGGAATTTGACTTACATCACACCAATTTTCAGCGGACGTTGGCGCATCGAACGCATAAGATACCGACAGGTAGCACTTCTCTCTATACCCTTAGAAATTATGGAGTCCCTGATATGAGACGGTATACACGACCCAACAACACAGTTACAGTAAGTGTCTTTCTTGAATAACCAACCTGCTGACTCCGGTGGACAGATGAACAACCATCCTTGATCGCAAGGAGAAGGTTGACATTATTAACCTTGATTTCTCAAAAGCTTTTGATGGGGTCAACCATATACGTTTCATCAATAAGTTCAAACAATTAGGTATCAAATCACCTTTAATTGATTGACTAGCTTCGCATCTAAAATGTCGACAGTTTAAGGTCATGGGTAACTTTACTCTTTTTTAGTCTATGGAATGTCTTTGTGGGGTCCTCCAGGGCTCATTACTAGGACCTCTTCTCCTCTTGATTCATATGAACGATCTTCCACAATAGGTCTCGTCAAACTTATTTCTTTTTACTGATGATGTGAGACATTGGAGAGAGATACACAACCAAGAAGGTAAACTGAAACTTCAGGAGGATCTGACTCGTTTTTAAAGTTGGGTAAATGACAACGTACTCATCTTTAACACTTCAAAATGTAAAGTAGTCCATTATAATTTACCGACTGCTTTTTCCTCTTTTATCGATAATACACCTTGATTGCTGCCCGGAGGTATTGGTGTTCTTTTGCTAATAGACACGGGAGTCTGCTAAGAGAATGCTTCTACTATTACGTCCGACACCATTTATTAATACTAATAATGACAAATTATCACATGAGGTATGCCAGTCTACAGACAAGATCAAGTTGTTACAGAAGTTACAATTTTCACTGTGGTAAATTGAACCATTTGGACCATATTTCACACGTTGCAAGATTAAACTTCGCTGACTTGTGAGTATGCTGTGCCGTTCCACATTTATTCAATTGACATACGAGATGCTCCGCCGCCCACTGTTTGGACAATAAATTACTGTTCGTTTTACTTTTAATATTGACTTTGG